ACTTTACCTATTCTAAAATATTTAAACACCTAAAGAAACAGCTATCTCAGAAAAGCTTCTTCCTTTCATCATTAAAAAAATAAAAGGAATAAGGATAGGAAAGGAATAAGTTAAATTACCATTATTTGCAGATGGCATGATAACCTACATAGAAAACCCCAAAAGCTCCACCAAAAGATTTCTGGATTCAATAACCAAATTCAGCAGCCATCGCTCAAGCGCCAGGAAGGTAGGCCGCCCCGATCCACCGCAGGAAGGAGAACCACGCCTGCTCCCGACCCAGCAGCCATCGCTCAAGCACGGGGAGGTAGGCCGGCCCCGATCCACCGCGGGAAGGACAACCACGCCTGCTCCCGACCCAGCAGCCATCGCTCAAGCACTGGCAAGGTAGCTGCACGGGCGCCCCTGAACCCCATAACACCCCACCTCCGCCCGCCCGCACTCTCAGACCTCCTGACTGTGCAAGTCTTTGGACCCACTCTGCAGAGGCAGAGGTGGTCATCAAGGGTATTTTTCCGAGTTCCCAACTTTGAACATCTTTAAAGAAAGGGCGTGGGAAACCTGTAATAGAACGTTGTGGAGTTCAACCATTCAGAAGGATGGGGAACTCAATCTGGGCCTTGCAGCCCGAGGTCAGTCAGTGTCAGGGGGTTCAGCAATCAGCTAACTGAGATCAGGGGTCTTGCATCCTCGCTCTGTCTGAGCCATTAAATGGTAAATATACTATATTGAAAAGTTTGTTCACTGCAGACATGTTCTGGACTGCTTCTTGATTTCAATTTAATTCAAATGATTTAAGGGTGATAGACTAGTGACTACCACCGGTGGTCAGTGTCCAAGTTGTGCTTGATCTTAATGTGTTGCTGATTGTATCAGTTGGGGTAAAGCATTGCCGTTGATTTGATGAGCTGTTTTCTCTGATGTTATGAAGATGAGAATGTCTGTGGGTCATTAGAGACACAGAAGCTAGGGTGCAACTATATCAGGAAGATTTGGGTGATAATCCAGAGATTAAACCAAGGACAGTCCGACAACAAAAATTAAAATGAGAAAACACTTAAGCAAGACACAAGGACAGACTTCCAGTTCACCAATGGCAAACAGTAGGGCAAATGAGGATGAAAAGGCCGATAGTGAACCACCAGGACACCCTGAACTCAAAGCACAGGAAGTAACAAAACAGATCAATCAGGCTCTAGAAAAATTCAAAACAGAAATAATTTCCCAGATAACCATAGAGATAGTGAGCAAAATGGAAGTCGTGATTCGAGACTCTAGAGCAGAAACTGACAAAAAAATAGATGAGCTCAGGACCATGATAGAAGCCATGAAGGCCCAGCATAAGAAAGAAATGGAAAAAATAAACGCCCAACATAGGAAAGAAATGGAATCCATAAAACAGATTCAAACAGATATCCAGGAGATTAAACACTCTATTGAAAGTGTACGCAACAGAATAAAAGAATGCGAAGATAGGCTCTCAGATATAGAAGATAAGATTGCAGTCAGTGACCATGAAAAGAGAGGTCTCTTAAAAACAGTAAGAGATCATGAGAAATCGATCCAACAACTCCTAGATGATGCAAAGAAGAATAACATAAGACTGATAGGAATACATGAAGTAGCAGGAGAAAATACAAATGACTTTAAAAAGCTGTTTGCAGAATTAATGACAGAAAACTTCCCAAACAGAGGGGAAGAATTTGACATTCAGATAACTGAGGCATATAGGACCCCAACTAGCTACAATCAAAAAAAATCTACACCTAGACATATAATAATCAAGATCCCAGAAACCCAACAGAAGAACAAAATACTACAAGCAGTAAGAGAAAAGAAACAAATCACATACAAAGGAAAGCCCATCAGAATCACAGCAGACTTTTCAACACAAACCCTTGGGGCAAGGAGAGCCTGGAATGAGATATTTCAAGTACTAAAAGAGAACAACCTCCAACCTAGACTGATGTATCCATCAAAACTCTCTTTCAAAATGGATGGGGAAATAAGACACTTCCATGACAAAGAACACCTGAGAAACTACATGAATACCAAACCAGCACTGCAAGTAATTCTAAACAAGATCCTAGAAAAAGACAATCAAGGCAGCAACACCATGAGGCCCAACAGAGCAAATCAAATAGGCAAGGCAAGAAATTAAAAGGAGAAGGTGAAAAAGTAAAAAGAGTCAACAAAAGGCCAATAACATCTCAATAATAAGTCAGTACATATCAGTTATAACCAGCATTGTCAATGGCCTCGACTCACCAATCAAGAGAAATAGACTGGCAAAATGGAATAAGAAGCAAAATCCAATAATATGTTGTATACAAGAAACACACCTAGTGCAAAAAGAAGCCCATAGACGGAAAGTGAAAAGATAGAAAACAATTCTCCATGTGACAGGAGCCCCCCCCAAAAAAAAACAGGAGTAGCAATCTTATTTGCAGACCAAGTAAATTTCAAACCAAAACTGAATCTAGTATTATTGATGTAGGACAGTACTGTATCATACCTCTATGAATGTAAAACATCTAGTACCTGCTCTGTGATACATAGTAGGGACCGTGCTTTATCAGAGCTACATTTAATGATATTACTCTAGAATGTTCTCTTTCCAGATGATGATTAAGAGGCTAATAGAAAAAATGGTGCCAGGTACCACAGCATCAACAGAACTTTGCTGTTTTCTGGATATTATTCTTTTCTTTTCTTTTTTTTTTTAATGGAATGTGCTGAATGTCTATAATTTTGTTCAGATGACTGCAGAACCTGGAAAAGCTGTTGCTGCTATCGATGCATAACATACTATTATTATACACACACACACACACACACACACACACACACACACACACATAAATTGAATTTTGGGAAACTTCAACGGTGCTGCCAACTTTGGAAAGCGTTATCCCAATTTACTGTGTTGACTTGGCATTTTACAGAAATGGACAACCATATTGGTCTAGAAATGTTAATTTATTTTTATTTTTTATTATTTACAGGGGTAAATATTTTTATTGTTTACAGGGGTAACACATCGTACTAAATATGTAAGGTCATATCTACATGGGTTTGATTACAGAAACTAATAAAGTATTCTCTAAATAATGAAAAAAGAATAAGATAAAACTGTAAGAGCGAGAAGCAATTTAAATATGTTCAGGGACCATTTTCATCTCCAGGATTAAGAATTATTTTGATGTTACATCATTGCCTTTTCTCTTTTACATTCCTTTTTAGTTTTATTTTAGGATTCCCGATTTTTAATGTTCATACAGAGATTTCTTTAACTGAAATACCAAATAGTTTCTTTGGTTTGAAAAACTATAATAGTACACAGGATCCTAATGAAACAATTAATAATGTGAAATAGGAAGTAACGGCTAAAGGTGTAAGGAAAGTGGGAAGGGTGGGGGAGAGGTAATAAGGGAGAGGAAAAAAATAAGAAACTGAAAAAATGGAAATAAAGTGTTTGTAAATGGGGAGGGGAGAAGGGGGTGAAGGGAGGGCAGGGACAAGGGGAAAAATGAGAATCAAGACCTATTATGTAAAGGTACAGAATCCCAAGGATGAATGTAATTGTATTGTATACCTAGATTGTACCAATAACCTCAATAAAAAGAAAAAAACAACTGGATTATTCAATAACCAAATTCAGTCACGAAGCTGGACAAAGTCAACACTAAAAAATCAACAGCCTCCCTGTAAACAAATAACAAACTTACGTAAGAGAAAAATTAGGGAAACAATAATCTTTCACAATAGCATACAAAAAAATGAAATACCTAAGAATCAATCTAATGAAGGAAGTAAGACTTTCACATTGAAAACTATAGTACTCTACAAAAGGAGACTGAAGATGCTATCAGAAAATGGAAAGATATCCCTTGTTCTTTGGTATGAAAAACCAACAGTGAAAGTGGCCATACTTCCAAAACTGTTATACAGATTTAATGCAATCAAAACCAAAATTCCAACACCATTATCTCACAGAACTAGAAAAAACAATCCTAAAATTCACTAGGAACCAGAAGAAAACTAGACTAACACAAGCAATTCTGGTCAACAAAGGCAAGGCAGGAGTCATCACAACCCCTGACCTGAAATTATAAAGCTACTGTGATAAAAACAGCACGGTACTTGCAAAACAGACTAGAGGATCAACAGCACAGATTAGAAGATGCAGCCAAATACCTCAGCCATCTTACCTTGGAGAAAAGGTCCAAACACTCACTGGAAGAAAGTTAGCCTCTTTAATAAATGGTGCTAGAAAAACTGGGGTTCCACATGCTGAAGATTAAAACTAGACCCGTATCTTTCACCGTGCACTAAACTAAAATCAAAATAGATCAAAGATTTAAATATTAAAACGGAAACACTAAATCTGCCTGAAGAGGGAATAGGTACAATGCTTGAAGCATAGGTGTAGGCAGAGACTTTATGAACAAAACCCGACTGCACAGGAACTATCACAGGGAATCAGCAACTGGGACCTCATCTTATGAAAAAGCTTTTGCCCAGCAAAGAAAATCACCAACAGAAAGAAGAGACAACCCACAGAATGGGTAAAAACTTTTGCCAGCTGTTCCTCAAAGGACTAGTATGTAGAATATATAAAGAACTCAAAATAGAAAAAAAAAATCAGACCCCTCAAATGTAAAGACCCAATCCAAAAATGGGCATAAGACATTTCTCAGATGAAGAAGCAGAAACAGCAAATAATATTGGAAAAAATGTTCAACATCCTTTTGTCACTTAAAATGTGTATTTTAGGTTATTAACTGTATTTTAAAGTAGTTTATTCAGCTTGGACATCAAAGCCAAGAACTAACAGCTAACACTGACAAATGATGAAAAAGAAGAAGCTGTTTACATAGTGTTAAGAAACAAAACAATGAATATTCCAACAAGTTGCTGCTGTTTACTTAAAAAAAAAATCTTCCCTGCATTTGAAAGTGGAGTTTATTATTGACCTTAGTAAGGGTGGCAGCACTCACCGGTGTGAATCTTCTCATGTCTCTGTAGCAGGTACTTCTGTATGAAACGCATGTCACATTGACTACATTGAAATGGTTTTTCGCCTTAAAATAATTTCACATTCATAAATTAGTTAATGGATAAAACAACAGTTTTTAGTTACTATTTCTGAGGAAATATAAATCTTAGAAGCCCAAATTTTGGAAAACCCCAAAACACTCCTATAAAATTTTTATAGTTTTTATTAACAGTATTTTATGACCTGTCAAATATTTCCCCAGGATTTAGAACTTTACATTCTTACAATCACACAAAATGAGATTAAATTTGATCTATATCCTTCAAATTTTAAAAAAGAATTTAAAACAATTTAGAAATGTTACATTGAGAATGGACTCTACTGGTTAACATTAAATATCTCTTCTTTATCTGGAGAAAGGGGCATCCATCCTGCTCTCTGTGGCCAACTATCCCTTTTTGTCCTTTAACCTATTTTCTTCAGAACTTTCTAAATATCCCTTTTAAATAAACTGCTGTCTCTTAGACCTTGCCCCTCTGCCAAGGAGTGCCTCCTTCTCAGTGGAGTGCTGTTTGGTCTGCTCCTCGCTGGCTACAACTGAAATTCTCCTACTTTGGCACTTTCTCTTCTTGCCTGTCACCCTTAACACCTTCCTCAAAGAGCAGTCTACTCAAGTCTCAAATCCATCATCACCCACTTAAGGCCTGACTTCATACTCTGCCTTCTGAAAAGCTACCTGGGATCTTGCTATTTATTCCAAAGATGTTTTCTTCTTCAGTTCTCTTACTCTTTTTATCCTCTGAGGGTATGACACTGTAGATTGTGATTTCCCTGGAACTGATTTTCTCTTCTTTTGACTTTTGGGACACTGTAGTAATTTTCTAGCTCATCACATCTCCTTTATTACTCTACCTCCCCCTCGTGCCCCGATTCATCATACAAGTCTAGCTTCTTTCCAGGAAGGTCTTGAAATCAGTCTTTAGTTTTGCTCTCACCAACTTCATGATCCTAGCTATCAGTTTTTTTATGTCTGTTTTCACAATCCATATTTCAAACTCTGTCTGGGTATCTTGCACAGAAAATGAATGATCACAGGCCTATAGTAAAACATTCATCAAGCATTTCCTTGGCTAAAGGGAATGCTTTAAGCCAAGTAAAGTGTCTAATTAAGACTAATTAATTTTATATATACAACTAGTTGTTTTCCTATTCGAAGTCTTTGCTAGTTTTCTTCTGATGTTCTGGCTTTATGAAATCTGATTAGCAAGGCCAGGTCAGCTATGGTCTTAGGAATGGATGACATTTACACGAAGATGAAAATAACAAAGATAATAATTTTAATGGCTGTAAGCCCATTTTAATTCAAGAAATACCTGTATGAATGAAGACATGTCTCTGTAAGTGATAGTTCGTTCTAAAGGCAGCATTGCAGTGCTCACAAACGTGAGATTTAGGGGTTTTCAAACCAAGTGATCCATCCTCATTTATTGTAAGGATCTAGTTTTAAAAAAAAAGCAAAAACAAAAGAAAGAAGTTTTTAAATGTAGTAAAATATTAATTTTTTAAAAAGGAGAATAAAAGCAATGGTCACCAGAGTAGTTATAGTATTTTTCACAAATAATCTTGAAAAGACTATTAGAATACTGTTATTAATTATAGGAAAGTACAGTATGACTCAGAATGGGTAAAAATCATCCATAGAAGTTGGTAAAGTAAGATCTTGCCAGTCTGCCTCCTCCCTGGTAAAGGTAATGCTTTATGGAGTCCCTAAGTGTTCTCAGCCAGGGTGAGCACAGCTCTATTTTCAATTTCAAACTCTCACATATGTAGGGGAAAAATCTTATGCTGCAGACGGGGTCTAAACATTCATCGGTACAGGACTGGTTAAACACATCATGGAAAATGAATACAGTATTATGTGGTCTTTAAATACAGTGGACACTTGAGTTACAACCAACCTGACATAGAAATAACTTGGGTCACAAATGGAATTTTAATTTTAACTTACAAACAAAGTCTTGAGATACGGCCCAAATGCTGGCTGGCCACTTGTGCTTCCAGATGGTCTTAGATACAGATTTAACCCTTAAAGAGTTCTGGATGGAACATTACAGCATCTTTTCCTGTGTGGAGTTAAATGAGAAATCTTGGGCAATGTCTGAGGGCAATGAGATATGCTTGAGTACATGAAAGAGATTTTGAAAGCTGTGTGGAATAGCCTCAGCCTTCAATTGACCAACTTCAATTACCAGCCCTCATGACTGAATTGAGTTTGTAAGTCAAGGGTCCACTGTAAAATGAGAAAACACTATAGAGTCTTATATAGAAAGAACACTGGTATTTTCTAAGAACATAAAAAACTACCGTTTATTATAACTCTTGTATAGTTTTTCTAATTTTTGTATGCAAAATAATACATACAGGAATAAACATTTGTTTATATATATATTAAACATACTTGAGAGGATATACATAAAAAGTATATAATCTTGGTTGTGATGGCTGAGAAACTGGGTACATAAGAGATAAAGTGGGAGGGAGATTTTGCATTGTACATTTAAAAACACACTTCTGAACTATATACATACTTGCCTATTACACTTTTGTTTTTTGTTTTTTTTTAACAAAATTAATTTTTCAAGTCATGCTATGGTAGGATTTGGAGACTGTTTCAGAATAGGGTATCTAAAGTTATTCTAGAACTACATCTATTGATAAACACATTCGTAAAGATATTTGTCAGATAAATAAATCAGAGGTAGGTATGAGGAAACAAGATAGGTGATGAAGAAATTAACCTTATCAACCTGGGTTTCTTGAGATTAAGATTGCTATGAGCCTGGTCTGAACAGTTAACGAGGAGATGCTTACCTTGAGCTCCATACACTCCCAATTTTATCAACAACTTGTTCAACATGCAACATTAAACTACCCATCATCAGACATGTGACAAAGTGGAAATAATAAATGATTCCTTTTTTCATTATTGAGGAGGGAAAACAAGATAGCAGAATACAATGTGAAAAAGCAAAGAAAACGAGGCTAAGATCAGAAGGGGCATGGCCAGTGAGAGGCAAACAATGTTGAATAGTGAAGTATTCAAAATGTGAGCTAAGAACCTATGTCTAACATAGGGAAGAGAATTCTGGAAAACATCCTAAGAAATGCAAAGGACGGACCGTGGAAACTGATTAGCATCTGCGAACACACAACTATGACCCCTGACCCCTTCTCCAACCTAGAAAGGGCTGTACATACAGAAAACAGGCTTTAATCATTCAAAACATTTTTTTACTTTAAATTCATAAGGCAGTTTATCCTATACTATATACAAACCAATGGTAATTATTATGCAACAGGGCAGTTGGGTTCTGGGCAAACTGTCAATGTGATTCACAATGCTCAAAGTGTATGGACCAAAATTGTGGAAGGGAAACATTTGGCAGGAGAATGAAAGTGGGTGTCACAGCTTCCTGGACAGTCAGTAAGAATGGAAAGTTTCATCTCCGGCCAGTCAATTTAAAATTTTTCCAGCTCTTCCAGGTCCAAAGTAATAATGCAAGTTAACACCGTGCAAAAAGAAAAAAATAAAGAACAATTTAAACTATGATTCAAGATAATTCTAATATAAAACAACAGAAAGATGTAAAGTATTTTCTAAACACAGAACAAAAAGGACAGCACTAGGTTGTTGGGTTTTCTTTTCACATATGTTGATAGCAAGTAAGATCTAAGTGCCAAAAAATCACGAAGTTCAATAGCTTCCTGTGGCACAGCAACTTCAAGGAGAGACTCTGTGAGGAACAAATCTGGCCCCAGTTGCCTAATGTGAAACGGATGTAATCACTGACTGTACAAAGCCCTTTCATGAACATTTAAAGAGTTCTAGGTCACTGCTCTCTGGCACTGGAGGGAATGCTGCCCTTCGCTGTACAATCAGGTCTTAATTCAAGGTGGAACTTTAAGGAAATATGCTATGAAATAGCCATTATGAAATAGCTACTATTTATTGGGCATAAACACACTGAAAAATCTAGCACACTTCCAAGTTCAGAGATAAAAATATCAAATTCTTTGACCTTTTGTATCCCCCCCACACCCCGAAACAAACACCTTTGCTGAAAGGATAGAGAATGAAACCTATCTTGCCTCAAATGAGCACCAATGGCCATTCCAATTTGTAATTTGTTTTATTTATTTATTTTTTCTTTGTAGAATTAGGGATCGAACTCAGGACCTTGCGCTTACCAGGCAGGAATGGTGCCATGGAGCCACATCCCAGACCTTGTAATTTGTTTTAAATGTATCCACATGATTCTGCCTCTCTTATCTACCATTATCATGCCAATGTTCAAAATACCTCTGGAGCACAGCAGACGGTATACACAGTAAAATGGCTGCCCACTACCTATGCCAATGTTTATTTCTCAAAAAAATCTTTGCTGGAAGCAATACTTTTCAATCTTTCAGTCTTCACATCACCAAACAGTTCCATAGAGGTGAGCGCACAAAGAACAAAGTCCCTGTGTGGAACAAAAGTAGCACCCTGATGCCAACAAAACTTGTTACTTGGTGTAGACTTGGCTTCTTTTCTTGTTCACATCCTTTCAAGATCTTTTTAGTAGAATGGGATCTTGCAGTTGAATGTGACTGCCTTAGATAGGAACAGTCCCTACCTGCTACTGCTACCATAAAATGTTTTTGCTTTTCTTTTTCTCCCTCAATATAGGAACATCATTACAACAGAAGAACCTGAAGGTTCCAACTTTAAATTCTAACATGCTTGTCAAAGCAGTTCTGTTACCTTGCCTGCTGCCACCCTTACTTCAGCAGAAATATGGTGCATTTTAAAGCTCAAGGAACCAGGCTTCAACAAGCAAAGAAAATCTGAATAACACTCAACACAAGATTTTTTTCTAATTTTTTAAAAAATTTAAACCAGTATTTTAAAAGAAAAAAAAAATTCAGTGTCCAATGGAATCCTTTGGTTAATCTGCTTTCTTAAATATCACGGTCCATTCTGGATGTATTTTTGAGACAAACGGTTTCCCCCTGGCTAACTACCTACTGTGTGTTAATGGGTAGCTTAAGTAAAACACCCATTTTCACCTGCTGAAGCCCTAAACTCTGCCTATTCAATGGGGAGACTACACTTCCCAGGGATCCCTGCTGCCGAAGAGCGGAAACCAGGCTTCCCTCAAACAAGAAAAAGTACTGCTCTCTCTTAAAAAAACATGTACTTTATGCATATTCTACTAAGGTCATTAAAGCATTTTAAACTGATAATTACAGTTTTATCATACAGTCTTAAGTGAACTGAAATTGACTTTTGAGGCATCAAAACCCAAAAAGCAACTTTGAGGACAGAATTTAAGTTCTCACTTAGAACAGTAAGTTGTTTTACTTACAACTCATAGTGCAGAATAGTGACCTTTGAAAATTCTCCTTACTCTTCAAATTCAACTAGAAATGGAAGAACAGTGCAACTCCAAAGACAAATAAGAAAATACCAGCCAGGCAGAGCCATGACCACCACACTCAAATATCCCAGTGGTGCTTCTATCCCATCCTACCCTCACACTACTGCTTCCTTCCTCTGGGATTTCTAATTACCTCTCCATATTAGATTTTACTCATTAACAATTTGGGATTTGGGTACTGGGGGCTGAACTGAAGCCCTTCACACACAACTACATCCCCAGGCCTTTTAAAACTTTTATTCTTTATTTTAAGGTAGGTTCTAATTCACTAAGTTGCCTGGGTTGGGCTCAAATTTGTGATCTTCCTTCTTTCAGCCTCCCATAGTGCTGGGATTACAAGCATGTGCCCAAATTTCATTTTTAAATGGCAAGCTTTTGACAGTGTCAGCAAATGATATTTATTGTATCATAAGCTTGATATAACAAGTAATGTTCAACATAATGACCGTGAGTTTCAGAAAAGGTTAATTCTTTCTCATTTCCTGAATTGAAAACATGTAGAATCTTCTAAAAGATTTACATCATCGGAATGTTTTAAAAAGGGTTCAGTTCCACAGAAAACAATCTATCTCAAATACATTAATCCCTGGAAAAAATTAGATAAATAAAAAACAGATTATTTTGGTAATTTTCACCCTTCATTTTCTCATAAGTACTAATTCATATTTCTTGTTTTTATTCCCAGTCTTATAATAGCCTTCAAAGCCACTTCTGCCTACATAAAGGTAAATGTGTAGAAGAAAATATGACAAATGCCTGGTACAATCATTTCTCTGCTCCTTTTAACTAATTTTTTTCTCATATATTATCACTGAATTTTGAATCTTTTGATATCAAAACCTCTAATCTTTTCTGGGAACCAATGGTATATAATAAAGTACTGATAAAGAATTTCCTCTACATACTATAATCTACTAATATATAGACTATGCTTTCCATCCTATGCATAGCATAACTGAATAATCAATTTCTATTCAAACCACTGAGAAGACCCTGTCTCAAAATACATAAATAAATAAATCTATTCAGACCACTGAAAGTGTCCTAACAAATAAACTCAGCTTCTTTCTTTAGTACCTGACAAGAGAGCTAGGCATGCACTGAATAAATGAAAAAGGAAAAACATTTCAGAATAAAGGGAAGTAATTAAAAGTACCTAGCTCTCTCATTTAATTGCTTGAGTTTGAAAAGATCGATACAATGTATATATACAGAATTGGACCAGGACACTACCATTGTATTTTACTAAAAAGGATACTTAGAATTCATTATTGTAAGCCAACAATCCTGATAAAACCATTCCCAGGTTTTCTCCTAATTCATATAACAAGTCAATAATACTAAAGCCATGTAACAACACTTTCATTAACATGGAAAATTCTAGCATCAAGGTTTGAGGGTCCATCACGTCACCTTCTGCTCTTTCAGAGCACAGACACAGACAAACCACTGAATAAGAACCTCCAGAGGTGGAGCCTGGGCTTCTGTAAAGGGCAAGAAAAGCCCTGAAGACAGGTGACAATGCCAAGCTAGAGGGAGAACCACACACACTAAATGCTTTGCAGTAGGATTCATTTTACAGGTCTTTTAAGGGGGGGGGGCCTAGAAGTGGGGATTAAACCCAGGGCCTGCATTCTGAGCCACACCCCAGCCTTTTACATTGTATTTTAAAATAAGGTCTCCCTGAGTTGCCCTGGCTGGCCTCAAATTGGTGATTTTTCCGGCCTCAGCATGCCTCATCACACCTGGCAAGTCTAAGCAGACGTTTCATACACTTCCTATAACTTTGGCTATCTAGATCCTAACCCAAATCAAAAGTAGATTTTGGTGGCAAAAGAATAATATTGAAGAGCCACACTGATGTAGCAATGTAAAAATGAATCCCACGTCCTTAAGGAATGAGACAGGGAAGCAATTAAAAGCAGTCAAAAACACAAGTCTCAGGATGAGGGTGGCAAAAAACCCAAACTCTACAGTCACTGAGGGCTCTGCTGTAACGCATAAGATTTTAAAAATATTTACAGCATCAGCACCAAGGCATTGAAAGCTAATTTATGTTCAAGCACACTGCATTTAAAATGAAAACACTACAATAAGCATTTCAACAATGTAGTTAAAACGAAATCCAGGCAAAGGATGTAGCCACTGTAGAGCACTTGCCCAGCAGGAAAGAGGCCTGGATTCAATCCTCCGCACCCCCCACTCTAACCCACCCACAAAAGATGTGACCTTTGAAAGGGGAAGGTTCTACAAAGTAGGAGATTTACTTTCATAAACAGCTAACTGCACAATGTAGTGAGATTTCGGCCTAGTTAATATTCCCCAGTTCAATTACCCTCTTCTTAATTAGACATATCACTAAATGTACACTGGCAATTTTCAAGTATTAAACCTACCTTAAGATAATAGACTTTGCCACAAAACAAAGGTTCAGAAAACGATTACTGCTTAACATCTATGGCAGCTAAAGATAGTGTGGCAATACACTATTTCTTACCTCAAAAATTACCCTGAAGTAACTCATATTTATCTGGAGGTATCTAGGCTCTGTGATTTGTTCTTACTAAAAGCCTACTGCATTCCTTTATAGTCCCTACACAGATTCCCAACCTGACACAAGGATACACATCCTCATAACATTCATGATGGCAAAGTCAACTTGGAAGAGGTGTTGGCTGAGTGGCGTCTTCTAAGCATGATGAATTGTAATTCTCACACTCCTCTCCATGTACTATTGCTAGTAAGATCATCGGCCTAAGAACTCCCTAAAGACTGTCCCCAAAATACTTTCTTACATACATTATACCTAGAATAGGCCAAAACTTTCAGAAACTTAACACTGTTTATAAGGAATTTAAAACAAGCAACACATTGACTTACAAACCTGAGACAAACTCCTCTTTCTCAATAAAGTGTCAGAACAAATTACTTTGATGAAAAACCTAAAGTATGACTTTGACATACTCCTGAGAAAAATGTAAAATAACTCACTGTTTATACCCCAAAATTCTGAGACTCCATTCATACACACAAAAAAATGCATTTGGAGATGGCATATCAGTGTTTAGAAAGTGTCGTCACCTATTCCCTGTCCCATTTATTACATGCAATGTGAGAATAATTTAAAAATAATTGTTTTTGTTATTCCCACACCATCTGCTATATTTTATTTCTCATCACTGCACTCTTGTAACAGTTTCCTAAAACACTGCCAGGCTCTGTTTTCTTATAGTATTTAGAAAAGGCCAAGTCTTTCATTTGGCCACTACAAAGGTATATAAACACTTAAACAGTATCTTTATAAATGCATTTATCTCAAATTAGACAAAATAAACTCTAAGTAACTAATCTATATTAAGAAAACTATAATAACATCACCAATATTCTGAGTAATATCCTACTAGAGGACAATCTGTGTTTCAGATAGAATTTCAGAGACATTACACTACAGAATAGCACTAGAAAAATATGCTAATAAAATGTCTAGGAAAATGTAGACCTTACATATATTGTGTTGATTTAAAACCTTGAAACAGGGTTGGGGATTTAGCTCAGTGGTTCTGCTGCCTGCCTCACAAGTGCAAGGACCCAAATTCAATTCCCAGTACCAAAAAAATAAAAATTCAAACCTTAAAAACAGATTCCCTATAAATCAGCAATGAATCCAATACACTTACTATCACAATTTTAGAAATTAATTTTTCCTTGAGCCATGGAGTTTTCTATACATGACAAATTTGATTTAGTCATTAATATAAAGAACAAAAACTGTACCATATAAAACACTGGGAAAAACATTAAGACACCAAGAAAAGAAAGGGAGAAAGGGTAAAAAATAAAAGAACTTCACAAAACATAAAATGTCAATAAAAATGAGAAAACCAAATTTAGAATGATCAGAAACCAAAGAAATTCATATCTGAACTCTAATGAGATTCCCACCCTAAACTAGAAAAGCAAAGGCTGAGCCTGCAGGCTGCTAAGGCTATACACAGACACACACCAGATCCACGTGGGGGTGTGTGTAAGTGACACAACACCTCTGTAAGGAGAAACATTATCAAGAAATCTGTTTAGGTTCATGTTGAGTCAACTGTGTACAGTAATAAGCGCACAAATATTTTAAGTGTAGTATGATTTAAAATGGAAACAAAAAGAACACAACTTTCCAAGAATACTAATGGCCAACACAGCAATAGTTATATATGATGACCTATCAAAAAATACTATATTACACAGCTAATAAAAATGTTTATTAAAAATCATTAACAACTTTTTAGTGTAAAAATAGTTTACACACACTTAGGGAAATTAAAGCTGTATCTACATATATCCATAAAAATCTGAATTAAAAGAGATACAAGGCAGATATCTCTAAATACATATAGGGATATATATATATATATATATATCAATAG